CAGCCTCGCGGGGCGCTCCCCCATCCACTGGCCGAATTGTGCCAGGTCCATGGTGCGGCCTTCCGTGTCGGCCCCTGCGGGTCTCTCTATGACGGATGCCCTGCTGTCTTCTGAATCCGTAGACTCGGGGGATTCCAGCCTGGATCGTGGGGGTGGAGCCCGCGGAGGTGGGGGCCTCCACCCGGGCGGAGGCGGGATGCACGGACGGGGTTTCGTCAGCGGGTCGCCACTGCCCGCATTCTCCACCACGTTGTCGCGGTCAGCCTGGGCGTCAATTGCCACCTGGTAGCCTAGACCCGTGCTCTCTCTCTCTCTTTGTCTGCAGGGTCTAGAGCCAGCCCCAGGTGTGTCCTCCTCGGTCGTCTCCGTCTCCCGTCTTTTATTACCCCCACGGCTCCCAGCACCTCCTCCACTTCCTGGCCCCGCCCCCCTTCATATTGAGACACGCCGGGCCGTTTCCGCCGGCCCCGCCCTCATGCCCTCTCTCGCTAGGGGACTTTCCCGGTCTGTGTGTACTCGGGCGCGTCCCGTCGCCGCGCACCTCTCTTCACCCTCTTCTCGCTCCCCCTGGGATCTACGCCTGCAGCCTCCGCCGCGCCATGCCGCCGGCGGCTCCACACCGGCCCTCCCTCTTCCCGTCGCGGCCCCCTCCCGGCACCCGTCGTCTTGGCGCGCCGCCGGCTGTTCCGAGCCGGCCTCCCGCGTCGGGTCTACGCCACGCTGCTTCCTCGCTCTCCGGCCGCTGCCGTGGGACGCCCCATCGTCTCCGGGGCCCAAGGTGAGACCTGCGATGGTCCCGGTCGGCCCCCCCCTTCGTTCCTCCGCTGGGCGCTGGCCGGGACACCTAGTAAGCTTCCACAGCAAGTTGGGGATCTGAACTTGGGTCTCACAGACCCTGCTCTAACCACACACCACTGGCTTTCATAGGGTGGCTGCTGTTGAACAGTAGCAAGTAGCCAGGCCTAACTGAGTCATACAAGTCAGATAGTATCAAGTCCAGAGGAAGATGCCTCCAGAATTACAACTGAACTCTAGGCAACAGAGATCTGACTCCCTGGAGAAAATGGCTGCTTTGGAGGGTGGACTCTGTAACATTATATCCAGCTGGGGCCTCTCCCCCCCCCAAACCCTTCTCTCCTCAGATTCCACCCCAAAGTGTCTAGGAATTTCCCAATCTGGAGCTGGCCACCCTAATCAGGTGTGGCCCCAAGGATCTCTCCATCAAAGCAAGTCCAAAATAGGCCTGGAAAGGGCCCTGCCCCCTCCCTTTTACTGAGAGAACCAAGGTTGGAATACCATGGTTGCCTAGCACCAGCCACTGAGGGAATCCATTTTTTAAAATTACAGGTGCTCCTTTGATCATTTTTGGCTTTTTAAAGCTGCCGAAGGGTTTTCTCGTTTTTTAGATTTCACATTTTTTTCTGCAAACCTGGGGTCCTTTTCAGGTTTGTAGAAAGATCTATTTTGCCCATTCACAGCTCCAGTCACTGGATTTAAGTATCCAAAGATATCCCAGCTTCACTATTAGAATATGAGATGTGAAAGACCTCTGCCCGAGACCCTGGAGAGCCATTGCCAGTCTAAGTAGACAATACTGACCTTCATGGACCAAGGGTCTGATTCAGTATAAGGCAGCTTCATGTGTGTTTATGTGTGTGTTTCGTGGGGAAATTGTTGCATGTGAATGCAGGTAATACCTGTTCATTCTCATAAATGGAGATTAATGGTTATCCACAATTATAAATATCTATGGTGCTTTGCATGGTATTTTTCCATGTGGGCTTTTTTCCGTGTGGGCTTTTATGTATATGGGCTTTTTTCCGTGTGGGCTTATTTCCATGTGGGCTTTTTTCCGTGTGGGCTTTTTTCCTGTGAGCATTTATGACAGTGGACTTTTTTCCGTGGGCTTTTTACCTAGAACTGTGGCATGGTAGGCCAAGGAGCTCTTCCCTCCCATGCCTTATCAAGTGCAGAAACAGCCATCCCCATGATGTCTTGGCACTTGAGGGGGGGACAAGAGCATCTCACTGATTGGGCTTTCGTGGCATTTTTAAAAGACTATAAAATGACGGTAGCATTCTAACAGCAGCCATGAGGATGCTGTCACGTCCGGTTTGATCCTCAGAGCATATAAACTGGATCCTGCAAGGAATCGGGGAGGGGGGAACAGTGGGGTCTAAAAACTCTCAGGGAGTTAAGCAGGCTAATCCACACAGGCCCTTTCCCTCTTTGGCAGCAGCTGCCACCGCAGCAAAAGATCTTCACTGGGCGACTGAAGGCAAGCTGCAGGAGCCATTTCGTGGCACCCATTTTATAGCTGTGCCCACAATCAATGTTCCCTCTAAGGTGCGGAGTCCTGTGAGCAAAAATTCTACTTGGTGAGCTACTGGCATTAAAGTTGTGAGCAAGCCATTTGGCTACTGCATACATTAGTTTGCTCTGGAGCTATCCTTCCTAAGACAAAAATGTGTGAGCCAGAGGCTAAATAACTGTGAGCTAGCTCACACTAACTCAGCTTAGAGGGAACACTGCCCACATTGCTGTGTCAGAATTCCAAGGGTGCCCAAAGGCTAAAAAACTGTTGGGGACCCCTGACCTAAGATTTCTGTTTGGAATAAGAAACTCATCTAGTTGGACAGGGGAATTCTTAAACAGACTTACACCCTTCTAAGATAACTGTGAGATTAGAAAGGCGTGACTTTACTCAGGGAAGGCACTCTTGGTACTTATCTGAATTCTGCTAGGCCAGACTGCATGTCCTCCCTAACACGTGAGCTATTTTTCTCCTTCCCCCGCTATTTTGGCTCTAGCTCTTTGCACAGGTTGATCAAAAGTCACAGCTCTGTAATTTCATATGGGAGTGGGGGGTGGGGGGGGGGAGAGAATACAAGAATATGAGATGGGATTTTGAAGTAACTACTTGGGTTTTGAACAACACAAGTTAAAAAAACCAGTCAATCTGGTTTTCGTTCCTGTGCAAAAAAACGGGGGGAAAGGATAGTTGCACTGTTTGAAAGGGAAGCATAATGATCAGGTTACTAGCAAACTGTTTAAACTGTCCTTCAGCTTCTTGGACAGTGTTCCTGGCAAGCATGAATGCCCACAACCCTTGCATCTGCTAGCAGCAATCTCTGTTAGGTGGAAGTACCAGATATGGGCCTTGGGGGAAGAAGATGGAACCTTTGCCCCATGACAGTAAATGTATATAGCCATCTACTTATGCCATATGAAGAGGAGGAGAGCAAGATGTAAAGGGCTAAAACAGTCTTCCAAAGGGCAGTTTTTAAAGGCACCCACACCCTTCTAAGGCTAAACATTTCCAGACTTCCAAGGAACTCTGACTTTGCGCACAGGGACTCTGCCCTACACTCCAGATAGTGCAAAAGGCATAAAGAGAGCAGCCCTAGGCAGGTCTACTAAGAAACTTACGCAGGTCTATTCAGCAGGGCTTACTCCCAAGAAAGTGTGTGTGTAAGATTGCACTGTAACAGTGCAGTCCTAAAGAGAGTTCAACCAATCCAAATCTACTGACGTCCATGGGCTTATTAGAATATAACTATGCCTAGGGCCGGCACTATAAAGGCATCAGCACAAGATGATAAAGCAGCTACATCAGAAGGCCAGAACAGACTGGACTTGGGAGATTTGTAAATAAATCTTCCAGATTTTGACTTTTATTTAAAACCTGCTAATTAGGTCAAAGCACATTTCTGTAGTGCTGTCCTTGTGGAGCTAACAGCAGTCTCATGAGGTGGAGGGGTGATTTAGAGTGGGGAAAAGGCACAGCAGAAGGTCTGAACACCCTTCCTCCCGTGCTTCTGTTTTGATTGAGCTTGGAGCCCACAATAGCTGCTTAATATATATTTTTTTAAGTTTCAAGAGCCGACCTTAGATCTCCCATACAACATCTTTTTTTTCCGAATGAGTTAATGCCAGTAAACCTCCCTTGTAGCTGACTGCAGTTCCAGGTACTTACCTTGTGTCCCTGGCTCAGGTTCTGTTCCTTGGAACCTTCCTTCTGATCTGGAGTCCACCACCTGGAACCGCTTGGAGGTCAGATTGGTCACCATTTCTTCATAGGTGACCAGGAGCGATTTATCCAGGGTGGCTTTAAACATGCCGGGCTCTGGCCGGGTGACCTCTGACGTCACAGGGTAACCTTCCTTCACCCAGTTCTTGAAGCCCCCATTCAAGACAGAGACAGTTCGATGCCCGAAAACCCGGAACATCCACCAGACCCGTGGTGCATAGAAGGTGCCCAGGTTATCTCCGTCATACACCACCACGTGCGTGTGATTGCTGATGCCCAGGTGTCCGACATAGTCAGCGAAGTGGTTTTCACTGGGCAACATGAACTCATAAGGAGAGGACTTGTCTTTGCACTCCTCAATATCAAAAAAGGAGGCACCAGGGATATGCCGTTCTCTGAACTCCTTCTGGGCATCCCTCTGCCCTGGTTCATACCAGGAGGCATCCAGCACACGCAGTTCAGGTCCAATTTTACTGGCCCGGACATGTTCCGCAAGCCATCTGCTGGAGACTAGAGCTCTGTATAGGATCTGCTGCACCATGTCTTTTGACTGAGACCTTTGCTGCAGAATGAGTTGTACAGCTGGCTGCCAAGCTCTGGTGTCCGGTTCTCTGCCAATCAACTGACACGGGGAGGGGACTGCAGGCACTTGTCTTCCGGCCTGTACTTTGGACTGACACAGGTCCTCCCACAACTAACTGCTAGCCCTAGAATACTCCCTCCCCGCCGCTGCAGGATAGATTTTGGCAACCTGAAGCGTCCGGAAAGAACAGAAGCCTCTCCAAGTTTCTTCCAAAACTCCTGTAACTTTTTCTCTTGCCCTCCTACCTCTCCAAGACAGCTGTTGGAAGACGTGCTGTTACAAGACTAAATGTTTCGGGCTTCACAGTAAGTGATGGCGCAACAGTAACGTGACTGGCTCATCCACGGTGGGGTGAATGTGAACCTGAAAGTGGAAGCCTCAAAATGAGTCCCGGGATGGCTGGGAATGTGGGGTCAAACAGGGTGGAGTCCCAAGCAACCACAGGAGGAAAAGTTATAAGAGGAGCCAGGATATCTCACCCCAGTAACTAAAATCATATTCTGATCTGTTACAAGGCCAAGGTACCTTGTGGGCTACTGCCAGTGCATGGACATCGCTTACGCTGTTCTGTTTCTGTAAAGGTCTGCTAGTGCTGTGCAGGCCCTGCTTAGGAACACAGTGGGAGAAAACATCAATTCCAGTTTGGAGCAACACCTTCCCTATCACTGTTTCCAAATTGCATGCCCATGCAAGGACAGTAACCTTACAAGGTACATCAGCCTCCTAAGAGATTAGGATACGTTTTTTAAGTAACTACAGCAAAATGCTGGCTCCTCATATAACTTTTCCTCCTCTATGACAACTCCCCTGTGTGTGTGTGCATGCGCATGTGCATGAATAAGGTTGTAGATTTTTAATGTTTGTAAAAAATTAGGGCAATTCTATGACATTGTTTACTGCATATCACACTGTTTTAATTGCATTTTTCAAAATGTAATCCACTTTAGTCTGCCTTTCTCAATGAAACTATAAATGAAGTAAATGAATAAAACATCCACCAAAAAATCTATCGAATAGTAAACTGGCTGCCCTCTGGGCAGATGACGCAAGCTGCAAAAATGGGCTGCAGAAAAGGTAGAGGGCTCTGCATAATGCACTCAGGAACTCTAAATGGTGTCCCCCTCCCCACAGTTCCTTACAGGCCCCAAGCATATGTATGTATACATATTTTTCAAAGCAAAATCAAAAGGAAGCCAATGTTGGTAACATCATGTCAAAACCAGGGGATGCTGCCCAGCACTAGAGTCTATTGGAGCGCTTAAGTTTTGAACTAAGAACACAAGACCTCACTGTGTTTACTCCCACTCTATGGAGTTGTGAAACTGTGATCTGCAGACTCAGTACGGGGCACTTGGCACCCTACCGTACAGTAATATTAAAGGACTCACCTAAGGTCACAGAGGAAGTCTGTGGCAGAGCAAGGGATGGCATCTATGCAACGGTGGCTTTAACTAGTAGAAGGCAGCCTTTGTCCTCTGCCCTCTTAAAAGCAGCTTTGACCCATTTCCCCCCCCCCCCCCCGTACTCTGGATAGCCCCTTCTCCTTCTTACCGTTGAAAGCATGAAGACGCCTTCAATGGGGCTGTTTCCCCTTCTCTTTAGTTCAACTGAGGAGCTTTCCGTAATCTGCGTGCAAACTCAGGGTGCTTTTGTAAAAGGGGGGGGGGGGTTTGAATAGGGTGAAAGGAGGGTTCGAGCTTTAATTTCTTTGCGTCATAACTAGATCCTCAGACCGTTCACGGCATAGGCAGAAAGGCTGCATTTTTTTGCCATAACGTCGACTGCCGCGCGATAGCGCAAACTGCTCCTTTCCTCTTAGACCGAACACTGCCCCGCCTGGCTCTTGTAGGTTCAGCGGAAGAGAGGGGAGCAAAGATCTCTTTCATTCTCAAAATAGATGCTCGGGAGACAGGACTACTGTCGAGTCTCCTCCCCATTAGCTTATTAGACCAAAAAAAAAAAAAAAGGTCGGTTCTATGACTGGAAAGTGAAAGTGGTCTGGAATCCTCACTAATGTCGGGAAGTTTTGTGTTCTCTCTTCCCCTCCTCTATTGCCATTAGTTGGTTTGCCCCGGCGAGCCCTTCTGCCACTGGCTGAGGAAGTGGGATGGAACGCTGGTCTCCTCCCTGGAGTTCACACGAGGGGTGGGGGAGCTTTAATGGCAGCGGAAGGAACCGGCCTGGGTACAGCGCTGTGATTCCGAGAAGCTCTACGCGGCACCATCGGTACAGGAGCCAGGAACGTTCGGAGGGCGCGCAGGTACCCCGCGGGAGGGTCCTCTAGACGAGACGAGACTTCTTAGAGGGTTTCGTGGGAGCTTCAGGGGGAGGGGTTTACAGGGTCTGCTGCCCATGTGCTCAAGGGTCACTCGACCCCGCTAGAAATTCGCCTGGTCGATTACTGCAGGCAAGGAGAGGCACCCAAACGGTGGCGAACGCTACAGTCCGATCTACTGAGAGTGGAAGTTGGTGAGAACTCGAGTGACACGCACACGCGCCCTTTGCGCAGGCATTCACTAGAAGCTGAAGCCCCGGAGCAGGTGTCTCTTGCCCAGTCCCCACAGAACTCTTAAGAACATAAGAGAAGCCATGTTGCATCAGGCCAGTGGCCCATCCAGCCCAACACGCTGTGTCAAAGTGGACAAAACTCTTCCTTGGCAAAGGATAGGAGTGAAAATGCTTTCCTGATGAGCATGTATTTTGTGTGCAGAAAGGGGTCGATCCCTGAACAAAATCCTTAAAAAAAATAATAAAATCTAGTTATGCATGTTAGGAAGAATATTTGCCTGAAGGCCTGGTTTCCATGTGCAGCAGTGTGATGCCCAACTTAAAGATGGTGCTGCTGGGACAGAACTTTCCCTGTACAATTCTGTAGGTGTCTGGCATCTCCTTTAAACTGGGCTGCTATGTGTGCCATAGTAGTGTGCCAGGGCAACAATTGTCTGGGCTACAGAGCTTTGGCATTCTGCTACTGGAACCTAGTGTTTCATACCCAGTTTCAGTGTGCACATGCAAAGTTGTGAGGGTATGCTTTTCTGTCCAAGCAGTGTCATGTTCAGGCTGGGCCTCAGCTGGGAGTGTGGTGGGCCTCAGCCGGGAGAATGCTGACTCTGCACCACCTTAAGTGGAGAATCACATTTTAAAATGCTCCTTTTTAATTTAACAATATACTTTCTACAAATAGCCAACCTTTCTCCACGGTGTAATGGTTTATTTTGGCAGGAAGCATTTTATGCACAGGGACATTAAAGTCTGGACCCCACTTGCTATCTGAAGTAGTATAGTCCATTCTAGTACCTGACATCTTCTGTCACCTCATTCTCAACCAGTTGTCCTGCATGTGTGACTCAAGCAACAAAACTGAATACTGCAGACATGTGCAGAGGGCATTTTTGATGGTGTAGTGATCAGGGCAATATTCTATTTATCTGAGTTTAAGAAAAGAGCTTCCTGCTCAGAGGAACATTTTACAACAAGACCGAAGCCTAAGATTGAACAACTTGATTGATTTGTCAGTCAAATGAATGGATAAGAACCATGTCCCAGCACATTAAAACAAACAAAACCCCCCACCAGAATGTAGCTTTCATGAATTTCCAGAAGTTACAGAAATCACAGTTGTCAGATACCATTTTAGAAAAGACATCCCTCCTTCTCTCATGTGCCAGGGCTGGCTATGGAGTGTGGCAAGACTGGGCATTTTCTGGAGCTCTGAGAGCAGCAAAGGAATCCGTGCCACAGCAAAAACACCATTTTCTTCCTTTTCAGGAAACAGCCAAGGAGGTCAGAGGCAGTTGGGGGAGCAGTTCTTTGTTCTGCATGTCCCACATCTTCCAAGAGAAGGGGTCCATTGTGGGTGGCCTTGTGCAAGAAGTTGGAGCCAGCACTGGCTTTCCCAGAAATAGCGTCTGCTGCAATATCTATATGCATCATCTGGAGAAAAACAGAAAATAAGTCCGAGAGAAGGGGGTGAAAGTATTAATTGTGCAAACTGATGCAGATTAAAATTAATACATTTTCAATTTTTTAAAAAACCCACCAGGTTCCTTTTTAGAAGATCACCACTTCTGGAACCAAGTGTGGCTTCTCACTGGTGGAGAAAGGCAGCCCTGTGTAACCTGTTCGCCATCTTTCAGGCACTTTTTTTAAAAAAAATGTAGATCATTGACAAGCATTGTCATGCATCTTTAAAAACTTTTTTTTACTGGGGAGGGGGGCTAGCTAGACAGCATAGTGCCCTTTCCTTGGTGTGACAACTTTAAAAAAACACTTGCATAATTTTAGAGAGATTCTCCCAGTTTCTGCAGGCCATTCCAGTTCAGATTTCTAAGTATATCTACTGTGCACAAGCAACAGTGTACTTTTGTAACATGGGAATACAATGGCTTAGCGGTCAGTTATTTGTCAGGTATAATATCTTAACTATGGGCTGGTTCACACATGCATGTCCATTGATCATTCATTGGGTAACATCTGACTATGTGAATTTGCTCTTGGAGGGATCAAGTCTTTATTGTTGAGTAACATGAAATTTCTGTTCATGGTTAGATCTGAATCTGGACAGGACACAGGCACTATGTCTCAGCAGCTTCTCTACCGGGCTTTGGTGTCTGCAAAGTGGGTCTCCGAAGTGATCAAATCTTCTCAAACTGGGTTGGCTGTACAGCTCCTGGATGCGTCCTGGTACCTCCCAAAAATGAAGCGCAACCCTCGGAAGGAGTTTGAGGAGTGCCACATCCCTGGAGCTGCCTTCTTTGACATTGACCAGTGCAGCGATCGCACTTCGCCATATGATCACATGCTGCCCAGCACAGGGGATTTTGCAGAGTATGTGGGCAAGCTGGGTGTGGGCAGCAATTCCCATGTCGTGGTGTATGACGCAAGTGACCAGGGGTTGTTCTCTGCTCCTCGTGTCTGGTGGATGTTCCGAGCCTTTGGGCACGACGCTGTGTCTCTCTTGGATGGTGGGCTGAAGAACTGGATGCGGGAGGGGTTTCCGGTGACCTCCCAGAAGAGCAGACCTGTGCCTGCAGAATTCCATGCCGCTCTGGACAAATCATTAGTCAAGACCCATGAGGACATTAAGGAGAACATTGAATCATGCTGCTTCCAGGTTGTGGATGCACGGTCAGTGGGCCGGTTCCGAGGGATGGAGGAAGAGCCCCGGGAAGGTAATGCTTCTGTTTTGACCTCCAGAGCAGAAGAGTTAGGTTTCTTTAGCTCACAGTTTTCTCCGGTGTTTAGTTTGCAGATAAAATTCAATTTCATATGCAGGATTTGAATCCTGATTATAGTCCCACAGATAATGAATTTCTCAAATGGTATATTGCACCCCATTCCTGTCCAAACTGGACCCATTTAAATCTAGGCCATTAAATCAATGCTTTAAAATCCCCAAGGAAAGAGATTTATTTAAACAATTTTCCCCATTTTGAAATTCATATATGTTTTCTGAGCAAGCACATATACTAGCAGGTTGCTATGACAATTGAAATACATCTATTTGCAACTAAATAGATCCTTTATGTGACCTAGTAGCATAACCCAAAACCTTTGGAAACCTGAATGCCTAAACAGACCATTCAAATGGTCTACTTAGACAGAAAATAAAGAGAATTCTATCTGTGCAAAGATACTAAGCATGATCATTTACTGAAGGCCAAGGTTGCAGTTCTAATCACACTCCTTTGGAAGTGAGTCTCCTTGAACAAAGTAGGGCTTACTCCCAAATAAAAATAATTGGGAGAAGCAGTGGGTGTCCAGAAGCTAGGGTTACTTGAGATACTTTCAGGACCGTCTCTCTCAGTATGTCCCTCAAAGAGCATTATGCTTGATGGATCAGCATCTGCTGGTGGTCCCCGGCTCAAAGGAGGTCCTCTTAGCCTCAACCAGAGCCAGAGCCTTTTCAGCTCTGGCACCGGCCTGGTGGAACACTTTCCCAAAAGAGATCCGGACCCTGCAGGACTTACTACAGCTTCACAGGGCCTGTAAAACAGAGATGTTCCGCCAGGCCTGTGGCTGAAGCGGCAGAGTTCTATCAGTATTGACTTCGCCGGTGCGCTTCCATTTTATACGGCTTTTACTTATCCGCCCACCTTCCGTAACATTGGTTACCATCTGCTGTACACATATGTGGAGTGGGCTCAGGAGTGATTTGTATTAATTGGCGCCATAAATTATGTTAAAATTGGATTTTAACAATTGTTGTAACCCGCCCTGAGCCTTGCTATGCAGGGGAGGGCAGGCTAGAAATTTAAATAAACAAACAAACTGTGTTTCTCAGTTAACTGGAAAGTGAACATTTGATTAGAGTCATAAATATCTGTTGCAGAGATCAGGTCATTGATAAAAAAAGAGTAGAAGATCACCCATATGGCCTCTGTGGATGACACCGCTACTATACAGAATGGCACACCCTGGATCTTACTGCCTGAGATGCCTTGCTAGTTCCTGGGTGTCTTAGGAAACCACAGTAGTAAATACAGTGCATGATACTGTGATGGTAAACAAGAGTCTTGTGATAACTGACAGACTAATAAATTTTTATTCTAGCATAAAATTCACTTAAAGTCAGCCATCACTTGACAGATGCATGTACAAAGTTATGGGGAAAAAATTGCATGCAGCAGGCGTGGAAGGCTGTAGAGTGCAAGCAAGAACAGGGTGGGATGAGATTATGTAAAATTACAAGTAATCAAGAAGAGTACAGGAAATCATTCACCACACGGGGAAATCCCCCATGGGGAAGGGCGGGGTATAAATTTAATAATAAATAAAAAATAAATAAAACAATAACTGGCAATAATGCAATTTCCCTTGTTTTGCTAACCTGATCAACCCTTGCAATGGCTAAAGCATCTCAGGTCCCTGTTAGGTCCTTGAGAAATGCTGTCACACTGATGGATAAACTCTAAGGCTGCAGCCACACAACTAAATAATCCACTTTCAATCCACTTCTAGTGCACTTTCCAACTGGATTTTACTGTGTGAACCGGCAAAGTCCAGTTGGAAGGTGCATTGCAAGTGGATTATTTAGTATGTGTGACCGCAGCCTATTTAAGCAGTTTGTAGAAAGGTGCCGCAAGATTCCTCTTTAGTTTGCTGCAATGGATGTGATGTGGCAGGCAAGAAGATCTTAGCCACGTAATCTCTTAACCCATCTAGCATCTCATTTACATGGGAATCTCAGCCACTTCTCTTTTGAACCATTTTCATTCAGTTGATTCATGCCCTTCCTGTAATCTGAATGGGTTCTGTCATGTAAAAATATTACCACTTCATGGGCTGTTTCTGTGAAGTAGGCATTAAACATTAGTTTTTTGACCTGTTAGAATACCAGGGGCCCCAGGCTAGCCTGATCTCGTCAGATCTCGGAAGCTAAGCAGGGATGGCCGTGGTTAGTGATTGGATGGGAGACCTCCAAGGAATACATGGAGGCAGGCAATGGCAAATCACCTCTGAATGTCCTTTGCCTTGAAAACCTTATGGGGTCGCCATAAGTCAGCTGTGACTTGACAGCACTTTCCACCATCAAAACACCAGGGGAGCCAAACCAGGATGCAGATAGTGGATTTTTGGTATTGTTACATCCTGAACTCTAGTTCAGATTGTTCCTCTTTCTTCTTTCTCCCTCAGGAATTGAACCCGGCCACATCCCTGGCTCAGTGAATATCCCGTTCACTGAATTCCTTACTGAGGCTGGCATGGAGAAGAGTCCGGAGGACATCCACAGCTTATTTCAGGAGAGAAAAGTGGATCTCAAGAAGCCCCTTGTGGCCACTTGTGGCTCTGGAGTCACTGCTTGCCATGTGGCCCTAGGGGCATATCTCTGTGGCAAGCCTGACGTGGCCATTTATGATGGAGCTTGGGTGGAATGGTTCATGCGGGCACTGCCGGAACACATCATCTCAGAGAGAAGGTGGAAGAACCTGTGAGGGGCAGCCTCCTGCCACGATGGGGGCAGAAAGGTTGCCTGGTAGCAGGTGTCAGAAGATGGTATTGCGGCCCAGGGAAGCATCTTTGACAGTGAATCTGCTGACACGGGGGGTGGTGGTGATGGTCCTCTGCATGTCTCCTTTGCTGGGCATAAGTGCTGTATCTTTTTCTCTATGCAGTGGTTTATTGTTGGGTTGGGGGGAAGGGCACTGGGTCACAGGATGGTGTACGAAATTTCAGTTCAAACATAGGATCAAGAGGTCCGGGCACATTGGGTGTACACAGGGCAGGGTTGGGGATGAGATTAATCTTGCACTTGGTCAGGTTAATAAGAGTATTTTTCTCCAAAAACTGAAATCAGGTTTCTACTCATTTAAGTTGATCAGACTTCGAAGCATATTGTCCTGAAGCTGCATGCTGTAGACCACAACTTAAGTTCACAAAGGTCTGCGCCAATGTTCCCTCTTAAGCTGTGGAGTCCTGTGAGCAAAAATGCTACTTTGTGAGCTACCGGCAGTTAAAGTTGTGAGCAAGCAATTTGGCTACTGCATAATTTAGTTTGCTCTGCAGCCATCCTTCATGAGCTAAGGCAAAAATGTGAGAGCTGAATGCTAAAAATCTGTGAGCTAGCTCACACTAACTCAGTTTAGAGGGAACAGTGGTCTGTGCGCTGCTCCACAGAAACAGGATTATCAGAATAATTCAATACCATCCTAAGAAGATGTACACCCTGACCGGACGTATTGAGAGCCAGATTGGTGCAGAGTATGGGACTGGGATACGGGAGACCCCAGTTTGAACCCCACTGGTGTCAGAGAAGCTTGCTGGGTGACATTGGGCCAGTCACACACTCTCAGCCTAGCCTACCTCACAGGGTTGTTGTGAGAGTAAAATGGAGGAGAGAAGGATGTAAGCATCTTTGGGATGGGATGTAAATAAAAAATTTAAAGCCTATTGAAGGTAACGGGCTTAGAATGCTGTAAATCTGCTTAGGCTGCACTGATATTGTCTCTGTCACACCCAGGTCAGAGTGTGAAGTGGGGGAGTCCAAGAACAGCCACAACAAAGGCTGCACTTTAGCAAGAGAGGGGCAAGGCAGGAGGCCAAGACAGGGAGTGAGTGTGGCACAGGGATGCCAGCTGTGGGCTGGAAATCCCCAAGAGCATGCGGGGCAGGGGAGACTTCCTGGACGTCACTTCCTGGAAGTCACAGAAGTGGGAAGTGACATCATGACTCTAGGATTTTTCAGACATCTCTATGGTTTTACAGGGTCAGGGAGCATCACTGGGAGGTCCCCTGCCATTCCTGGGTAAGTGCTAACCCTAGAGTGGCAGTAGGAGAGATATAAAAGGCCAGAGCAGGAAAGAAGAAAGACAGCTAGTTGGCAAGGCCCAGGGTTGCCTGATGTTCAGGGAGGTGATGAATTATTGGTTATTGGAAATACTGGTTATTGGAAAGGCCTTGCCCTCATAACTTGACAGCATCTCATTGAGTTGTATGGGGGAAAGTGTGCTAGCAAGCTTTAAAGCTTCACAAAGCTCTCAAGCCTTATCTAGGCCAGAGTGGGAATACATTTCCAAACCCTTTCTTGGAAACATTTTGAGATTGTTTTGGCATTTCTTTTATTAAAATTGCATAATTAAAATTATATATCACCTTTCCATCATTTCACGATAAAACGAATCAATTGCAAAACAAATAATAAAATCAATTAATATCATAAAAACACACTTCCATCCAAATCACAAAGGATTATAAAGCCTGAGATTACAGATCAAGCACCCTGTTCACCCGTGCCAGGCTAAATAAAAATGAGTTGCAGATTTTGTGACACATCCAAGATCAGTGTGGCACTTCCTCAGGTGGGGGGTTTCAAGGAGAAGGATCCACCACCAGAACAAGTCCTGATTGTTGCAACTGCTCTTCTTACCTGGCGGAACAAGGTTTGTAAACCTGATCTCAGTTGGAACATCAGCATAGTTGGAAGAAATGATCCCTCAGGTACATTGTCATAGGTGTTGTTGTTGTTGAGTCGCACAGTCGAGTCCGACTCTTTGCGACCCCATGGACCAGTTCACGCCAGGCCCTCCTGTCTTCCGCCGTCCACTGAAGTTGGCTCAACTTCATGTTCGTTGCCTCTATGTCACTCTCTAACCATCTCATCCTTTGCCGTCCCCGTCTTCTTTGACCTTCGATCTTTCCCAGCATCAGGGTCTTCTCCAGTGAGTGCTCCCTTCTCATTTGGTGGCCAAAGTATTTGAGCTTCAGTTTCATTATCTGCCCTTCCAGGGAACAGTCAGGTTTGATTTCTTTTAGGATTGACTGATTTGATCTTCTTGCAGTCCAAGGGACTCTCAAGAGTCTTCTCCAGCACCATAGTTCAAAAGAATCTATTCTTCGGCGCTCGGCCTTCCTTATAGTCCAACTTATAGTCATAGGTGTTACAGGGCTTTAACGTTTTAAACCAACATCTTGAACTAAATCTGGAAGTAACCAACCAGTGTAATTAGTGCAATACATAATGTATATGGGCCTGCTTTCTGTCACTAAATAACAAAGAGGCAGCAGTCCAGTTGCCTTCGAAAGTAGCCCCATGGAGAGCACACTGTGGCAACCAAGCCTGAAAGTTATATATGCATGGGTGGACAGCCATGAGCTTGTTTCTTAAAAGCCATGAGTTATCTGTTGGCAGAGTTCAGAAATAATCCAGTCCATGCTTTGGAGTTTGCTTTCATTTAATTTAATGCAACAAGATTTTGCAGAAAGACAATAACTGACTTCAGGCCATTAATACAACAGAGAGGCCTACAGAGCACAAGCACAAACACATACTACTACATAGCAAAAAGGTAGGCTGAACCACAAGAGAAAAACATTCAATAAACCCTAAACACTAGAGAATGCTCCACAGCTCCCCCTAGGGTACAAGTGGACTAAATTTTTAAAAAGGGTTCCAGAGGAGATTCTGGAAATTACAGGCCAGTCAGTCTGACGTCGATACCGGGTAAATTGGTGCAAACCATTATTAAGGAAAGAATTAGTAGGCACATAGATGAACAAAACCTATTGAGGCAGACTCAGCACGCTTTCTGTAAGGGAAGATCTTGTCTCACTAACCTGTTAGTGTTCTTTGAAGGGGTGAACAAACATGTGGACAAGGGGGATCCAATAGATATTGTTTACCTTGACTTCCAAAAAGCGTTTGATAAAGTTCCCCATCAAAGGCTCCTAAGCAAGCTCAAAAATCATGGGATAAAAGGACAAGTCCTTTTACGGATCAAAAACTGGCTAATTAATAGAAAACAGAGAGTGAGTATAAATGGGCAGTTCTCTCAGTGGAGGGTGGTAAGCAGTGGGGTACCGCAGGGATCAGTACTTGGTCCACTGCTTTTTAACTTGTTCATTAATGATTTGGAGATGGGAGTAAGCAGTGAAGTGGCTAAATTTGCGGATGATACAAAGTTGTTCAGGGTGGTGAAAACCAGTGAGGATTGTGAGGCACTCCAAAGGGATCTGTCAAAGATGGGCAAGTGGGCGTCAACATGGCAAATGGGGTTCAATGTGACCAAGTGCAAGGTGATGCACATTGGAGCCAAAAATCCTAAATATAAATACACATTGATGGGGTCTGAACTGGCAGAGACAGATCAAGAGAGAGATCTTGGAGTTGTAGTAGATAACTCACTGAAAATGTCAAGACAGTGTGTGACTACAATAAAAAAGGCCAATGCTATGCTGGGGATTATTAGGAAGGGTATTGAAAACAGATCAGCCAATATAATAATGCCCCTATATAAATCAATGGTGAGACCTCATTTGGAATACTGTGTGCAGTTCTGGGCACCACACCTTAAAAAGGATATTATAGCTTTGGAAAAAGTGCAGAAAAGGGCAACTCGAATGATAAAAGGGTTGGAACACTTTCCCTATGAGGAAAGGTTAAAGCGCTTAGGGCTCTTTAGCTTGGAGAAAAGACGACTGAGGGGTGACATGATCGAGGTTTATAAGATTATGCATGGGAAAGAGCAGGTAGAGAAAGAGGTACTTTTCTCCCTTTCTCACAATACAAGAACCCGTGGGCACTCCATGAAATTGCTGAGCGGTCGGGTTAGAACGGATAAAAGGAAGTACTTCTTCACCCAAAGAGTGATTAACACATGGAATTCACTGCCACAGGAAGTGGTGGGTGCTACAAGCATGGACGGCTTCAAAAGGGAATTAGATAAGCATATGGAGCAGAGGTCCATCAGTGGCTATTAGCCACAAGGTATAGCTAGGGGCTCTGGGGCAAGTGATGCTCTGTCTTCTTGGTGCTTGGGGGGGGGGTCAACAGTGGGAGGGCTTCTAATGTCCTGGCCCCACTGCTGGACCTCCTGATGGCACTGGTATTTCTGGCCACTGTGTGACACAGAGTGTTGGACTGGATGGGCCTTTGGCCTGATCAGAGTCCTGGCTGATTGAGTGTGGGAGAGGAACGGGCATTGTTTGACTGGGATTGCCTGTAATTGAGAGGAAGTGGAAGGGGCATTGTTTTGCCTGTGATTGAGTGCCTGGGTGAATTTGAATTTGAATAGCTGCTGCCTGACCTCTGCTGGGGGAGGCCTCTATTTAAGGAAGCACCTTGCCAGAGGCAGAGGAGACCAGCTGAGCTCTGAGCAGGAGCAGGAGAGAGAGCTGTGAGAGAGGTGAGTGGGTTTCTTTTACTTGCTTTCAGCTGAGAGAATTCAGCTAAGGATATTTTGTGGGAAAACTGTGTTTAGCAGTGTGTGGAAGCACTTAGAGTTCTTGCAGAGTCCTGGCTGATTGAGTGTGGGAGAGGAACGGGCATTGTTTGACTGGGATTGCCTGTAATTGAGAGGAAGTGGAAGGGGCATTGTTTTGCCTGTGATTGAGTGCCTGGGTGAATTTGAATTTGAATAGCTGCTGCCTGACCTCTGCTGGGGGAGGCCTCTATTTAAGGAAGCACCTTGGCAGAGGCACGAGCCTCTGGCACGAGCCGAAGGGTGAGCTAAAGGGCTCTTTGCCTGTGGCTCTTAGCCTAGGGACTCTTAGACTAGGGGCGCTGTAAGAAGCCCAAAAAGAGCCAGAAAGACAAGGCCCTAGGCTCTTTGTCTTTCCCGTAAAATAATTTGACTTGATAACAAAACCCACATAAATACCAAGGGTTTAAAAGGGGGATTATATTTATTTATTTTAAAAGAATTATGAAGCCAGAATGCCAGCAGGGGGTTGGGGGCTATCCAGTGTTTTGCACGGAGTGTCACATGTATGACTATCTGCCCACTGGGCAGAAGTCTTGGGTGTGTCCTCGGTGCAAGGAGCTCCTGGTTCTCAGGGAACGTGTGTGCTCCCTTGAGGCCAAGGTGGCTGACCTGGAGAAGCAGAGACAGTCAGCTAGGCACACAGAAAAGACTCTCGGGGACTTGTTAGCTTCGTCCCACTCTGGATCTGGCAGCCCCGCTGCTGTCAGGGAGCATGAGGGTCTAGGGGAAACAGGGCACCATGCTGA